CTTATGCCTTAATACCCCTGTATCTAGGTACACAATCCCCGACCGCTAAGTGCTCCGTTCCGTCTAAGATGCTATTTCTACTTCAGCAGGGTTGCTTCTATGCTTTTCAAGAATAGTTCGGTGGAGTTCATTCACGTCAACCGGTGGCCGTATTAAATTACTATCATGCTTTTTATCATCACAAAGATAGCAGTGATGAATGGTGATTAATAATAGAAATGCACTGGCGACGTGATTTGCTTTTGGCGTCGCTGTCGGTAGTTAAAGGGTCATGCAGTAAGTAATATGGTATATTCGCCTTAGGCCGTTCCCAAATTGGCTCCCACTACGTGTCTTCACAGTCATTATCACATTAGCCTAAAGATATCTACCTGGATTTTATACGCATTCCCAGTATCTATTTAAGATGCTCTTAAATCAGAATGTGATTAAAGATGAAGAAAAAAAGTAGCCATAAATGTTGTACCAAAAGATTATTGCACGGCAATATACCTGTATCAAGGGTTAAAGATTATTTACAAGGATTTCCTTTCTACTGAAAAAAGAGAAACAAGTGAGAGACATTCCGTCTAATGGACTGCGCTCCAAAAGAACCCCTTGCTGCTTTTGTGGGATGCCTTGTTGATAAGTTGACATCTAAAGTGCATTTCAGCTGTAACCACCATCATGGTGAGGTGTTATTGTTCAGGCCAGACATGGGCAGTGGGTGGTTGGCGGGTGCTCTGGTGCGGTTGGCTCCTTCTTTCGTATCAAATAACTATCGTCTTTATCTCTCCTCCTTCTTTTTTAAGTTTGTTATTCTCTTGTAACACCTCTAATCTTTGGCACTTATATGACCTTATTGTGTTGCAAATGCCGTAAAACTCTTACTAAAACTAAACTAAAGATATGGGAAAACCACGATCGGCGGACCTGATCCAGCCGGCGAGACATTTCAGTCCGGTCCCCAAGTCGACCTAATAGATAATGTGGTGGGCTGACGATTAATACAAAGCTGTCCTTCCTCAAAATTAATATCAATATTTTCCGGCACAACAAGGAAGAATAGATCTTATATTTTACCTCGTAAAATGCTTTCGAGAGACATAATAATATTATGCTGTAGTGTCAGTTTTACCCTCACCCTATACAGATTGGGTGTTTCATCCGATTACGCTTAAATTTCTTCTATTTTGGCCCTGGACATAATTGACATAATACTGGGATACGCTTAATCTGGCACGTGATTTGGACATGTTTGCCGTCCCCGTGCCTAGTGTAAACCGTATTTTTTAAGACCGCCAGTGTCTGAGTTTCGGCATATTCTTTTAGCAAGTCATTTATGTCTTCGTGGGGAAGAAATAGAGATCTGCGCCACAAAGTCACCTGAACAGATGATTAGCTTTTACCAACTGTACTGTTGTTAGAGAGATTCGTAAGTAAGGCTTAAATGCTTCTTATCCTGTCGCTATTGCTCTCAAAAGCAACTGGCATACTTCTTAATGCCCCATCCTCTTTCTGTCTGTCTGCCTCTCTGTCTCTCTGCCTGTCTGTCTCTCCCCCCCTCCTCCCCCCTCTCTCTCTCTCTCTCTTTCTCTCTCTCTCTCTCTCTATCTCTCTCTCTGCCCACTCTCTCCCTTTTCTCTCCCTGTCCCTCCGTCTTTCTCTGCCCCCCCCCCCTCTTATATGTTAGCACAGTTCCTTTATTATCAAGACAGATTTGAAAATAGAAGAACGTCATTAAGTATTCAGTGCCAAAGGATAACAATAAACTATGTCACATGTTCTATTTAGTAATAATTTGTAATATCTTACGTCATAGCCGATTCTGTGACATAGTCAATTATGAACGTGACTAGCATTCCAAATTGCCATCTCTTTCACACGTGAAGTGTACAGTCATGCGCGGTGGGAGGGCAGAGAGTAGTGGGGTGGGGAGAGGAGGGGAGGGAGACTGAGGAAGACTTTTATGGGCAAGTACCTATACAATGCTTTCAAAAATATCCAAACTCAAAGTGAACAAGTATGACTGGCGAATCTGGCAGGTCTAGCGTTGGAAGCTCCAAGCTCGTGTCGTAAGAGAGGTTTCCTGGTTCATAGTTCATAGTGCCTCAAACTGGGCTCGTACCTTTAAGAAAACTTCATAATTATTTAGTCTTAGTCCCTTTGCGCAAACGTCGAGAGAAAGAAACAACCCAATTTTATGCGTATAAAAACAAAAACCAATCTCAGCCATGCTGTGGAGATTTAAAACAAAGGCCAGTGACATATTTCATTGTTCGTTTGTCCCACGACAGAAATATATGGTTTCTTAGGTGACTGAGAATCTCTCTAAAGAAAAAGAAATCGAATGAAGCAGTATTAAAGACGTTCACGTGGGCTTCTCATTATACAACAATTTAGGTAGAAACACGTGAAGTTTCTTTGACACTTCAATCGGTATAAGGGTCTTGAACATAACATTCTCACTTCTGTCATTGAAGGCAAACGATCCAGAGGTAGACCCAGAGCAACGTACTGGCAAAGTGTCAACAGAAAAAGAAATGACGAGGAAAGACCAGGATGGCATAGTTTTCTGTTCTTTTTTAAGAGTACCTGAGAAAAGAAATAACAGACGAAATATGATCGCAGATGGCTGTCAGAAATCAGTCACTTAATGAAAATTCCACAAAACCCACCCCAAATCCATCCCAACTCCCCCTTCCCCTTCCCCCTTGTCCCAAAGCTTGGTCACGGACTATGAGGTCCGCCCTTACAAACATATTAATAGTGTTTGTGTCTACTTGAGTGCTAAACGTCGTAAAAACAGGACCAAACAAGTAGATCCAGCAACTGTGTAAATATCAGCCCCGTTCTACTATAAGGCTACAGGGACGGACCCACGTCTAGCAATAGTAATGATGGTATCATCAAAGTCACTGGGTCCCCGTAACAGACAGAGTAAACATGCTCATCACATCATACGAACGCCGCGCTACCCACACACCATAACTTCTTAACAACGAACGTGTATCCGCATCACTTGCGCTCCCCTCTGAGGACATACGACGGTACCCTAGCAACGGTTGTCCCGCGGGGACATCCACTGGCATGTAGCAGACGACCTCAGACTACCATGGGCAGGATTGCGGTCAACAGGAAATGAAATATAGGAAGTGTCTGTCTGGCCATGATATTAGTGATATATTTTGTTTTTAATATGAACACATGTATATATATATATATATATATATATATATATATATATATATACACACGTAAAGAATATATAATAGTTACATTGAGGATTAACGCAGTTCAGGGGTCAATTTATAGAGCGAATACGTCAAACAAAAACGTGAGCACATAATTGAAAGGTGTCTATGCTTTTGTACACCCTCCATAATAATATCTGCATAAACTGTTGAGACAAAATATGTCAGGCAGGCAGATGGACATGTGTATACATCATGTATGAATATCAATTAAGGGCTTATCTGTCAAAGATAGGCACTAGCTTATCGTGGTTCAATCCCTCGCTTGTGTTGACAGGAATAAAAAAACAACAACCTGGGAATATTATACTGAGCGCAGTTTGTGCTGACACGTAAAAAAAAAGCTTAAAATTTCGGAGGTTTTTCCAATCCCAGGTCGGGGGGCAGGGGGGGGGGGTAGCCTCTGTACCGTGGAGTTGCAGGCTTTTTAAGGTAAGGATCAAGCACCAAGACGTCAGGGGTGTGTGCATTAAAGTACTTGCGCAATCGGTAATCAAATGACAGCAGGCCTATTAAGTCAAAGCTCTTAAATAACCTCATCAAAAACTGATGGTTTTCTGGTCAGGAAAGCAATAAAAATATCAGTGCGATACATTAGAAGTAATTGCGTAAATTACGCGTTGGGTACATTGCTGCTGTCATTTTCCGTTCAGAAAACAAAGTTGTAATCCTATCAAATTAATCCAGTCTGTCTCTCCAAAATACTGTGAAATATCAACAAATTTCGACATACAAATCGCAGAAAATTTGAAATTAAAATAAGCTGACTACACTGATTGATAATTTTGGGAGCTTGGTTGACTCATACATGCTGATCAGGGTCAGCGAGGTTGGGGAGAGGAGTGAGATAGGGTTGGTACTAAAGTAAAACAGAGTAAAAATCAATGCATAAGCAACTCTAATTGAATATAAAGGCAGGAGAAATGCATTACGACTATTGAGAGAAAGAGGGAGAGAGAGAGAGAGAGAGAGAGAGAGAGAGAGAGAGAGAGAGAGAGAGAGAGAGAGCAGAGAGAGAGAGAGGGGGGTGGAGAAAGAGAGAAAGAGAGAGAGATGGACCGAGAGAGTGGAGGGAAAGCTTAAGAGAGAGAGAGATAGAGATAGAGAGAGAGAAAGAAAGAAAGAGAGAGAGAGTGGTATGTGCGTGTTTGTGTGTGTGTGTGTGTGTGTTTGTGTGTGTGTACATCTGAAAAAAAAGAGTAAATACCTGAGAAAGAAAGAAGAGAGAGAGAGAGAGAGAGAGAGAGAGAGAGAGAGAAAGAAAGAGAAAGAGAGAGAGAAGGAGAGAGAGATAGACAAACAGACAGAGAGACAGACAGACAGACAGACAAACAGACAGACAAACAGACAGACAGACAGACAGACAGACAGACATGGGGAGGCTGAGAGAAAGAAAGAACGATTTGATAACTCGTCCCCATATGAAGACATAGACAAAACAAAATGCAAACATATCTAGAGACAAATAGTGAGACTGGCAGACAGAGAGGTAGGCAAGCCTCTGAAACAAAAAGAGACAGATGAAGATAGAGGTATAATGATGAACATGAACGTGCTTAGAAACTGACAGACAGACACACGAACTGACAGTTACACAGATGGTACCTCAAGAGCAGATCTCTTCTCAATCCCCCTATCCCCCC